TCACTTTAAAAAATACAGATACTACAGGACTAGAAACATGAAATCAATACCGTGGGTTTTAGTTCCTAGAGATTACCTCCACTAACAATTGATGTGGATCTTTTACTCTGGATACATGGAAAATTTTATAGTGAGGTCTATAGTTTTATAATTTTTCATCTCTATGAGATCATATTATACATATCTTTCTGCAACTTTAATTTTTCCCCTTTGTATCTCTTAAGAATCTTTTGAAATACAAGGTGGGGCAAAAGTAGGTTTATAGCTGTTCATATGGAAAATAATACAATAATAAATAAATAATAATACAAGAGCCTGGCCAGTGTGGCTCCATTGGTTGACTATTGTCCCATGGCATCGAGAGGTTGCTGGTTCCATTCCCGGTCAGGGCATATGCCTGGGTTGAGAGCTCGATCCCCAGTAGGGGGCGTGCAGGAGGCAGCAGATCAATGTCTCTCCCTCATCCATGTTTCTATCCCTCTCCCTTCCACTCTGAAATTAATAAAGACATATTTAAATATGTATATAATAAACTTCAAATATTTTTATATGGAAATTTTTTACAATCATTTTATAAAGTGTTTATAAGCATTTTATAAAGTGTTTATAAGCATTTTATAAAGTGATTATAGGCATGATTTGTAGGCATACTTACTGGCTGTGGGGTCTTAGAAAAGTTATTTAAGCACTCAGACCTTAGTTTCCTCCTGTAAAATAGGAGATAATAATAACTACCTTGTGAGGTTGTGTGAAAATGAGATAACACAATTATTTGGAAAGCAATTAACATGGTGCATAATATATCATAAGCTCTCAAATGTTCATTGTGTTATGTTAAATGTTTATTGTGTTAAGAGTCCATATCTGTCTGGACTCTTCATTGCCAGTGGCAGTAATGTAAGTCACTTGTCTTCTTACAAAAAAGGGAGTTTGTTGGCTCACACAAATGGGTCTAGGGCAGGAGTGCTTTTTGGCATGGCTGTATCTAGCACCTCCCTTGAAGGTACTGGGACTCAGCCTCTCTCCAGCTCTTACCTCTGCTTTCTTCTATGTTGGCTCAGTTCCCAGGTAGCTCCAGGCTTATACCCTGCTACCTAATAACACCAGTACTTTTCAACAAAAATCCCAGGATTGACTGATTCATCTCGCTTTGTTCATGGGGCCCATCCCTAAACCAGTCACCTTAGTTAAGGAACTGGAATGCACTGATTGGTAGGCCCAGATTACAGTACTTACCTTTGTAACTGATGGCAACGGTCAGCTTAAGATATTGAGCAATATCAGACCTTTTGTTTTCAGGCTTTGAAACATAGAAACCACCTGAACTAAGTTCCTTCCCCAACAGAAAAAATAGGGGCAACAAATGCTGGGCAGGTGGAAACTGTGGATGTTCCCCACAGCCCACTGTTTGGCTGCCTGACCATGAGTCCTGGTATTTTCATATATGCATTTTCAGAAAAGCCTAACTGTGCAACTGTTAACAGAGGAATGTAATCTTAGTTGGAGCTGAGATTCCAGGAAGGTGCCATGTGGGTGATCTATCTACACAGCGTCTCTCATGTCCAGCCTTGATTCCAAGTGGCTGGGCCTTCTGTTGAGTGCCAGAAAGATTAGTTGCTTGACTAGTAGGGGCCATCTAATATGAAAATCTGTTTATGAACAGAATAACTCAGTTCAGCAAGGTGTTCACACTAAGAGCAACCAGAAATTCAAATGAGCTGTGGCTGGTGTGGCTCAGTGCGTTGGAAGGTCGTCCCTTGCTCCAAAAGGTTGCTGGTTCGATACCTGGTCAGGGAGAGACAACCAATTGATGTTTCTCTCTCCCTCCCCCTCTCTCTAAAATCAATAAAAGATTTTTCTTTTTAATTGAGATGACCAAAAGAGATTTTCATCTGCCCTGGTGCTCAGCCCCGGTCAGGGGGGTGTAGACAGAGACAACCTGCACTGTTTAAATCCTCCTGTCTAGTGTTTGGTTCGGTTCGGTTTGGTTTGGTTCGGTTCGGTTTGGTTTGTATTACCAAGCATGTGTGCTTGAATTTGCTAAAGTAATGTTGCTCCAATATATGTCAAAATTCTTAGCCTTTCCCAAATGCGAGCCTGATTATTATGCCCATCCTCAGATCCAGGACCTGCAAGGTCTGTAGGTCCTCTCAAGCCCCACTCACTGAACAGGGAGGGAAGGAAGGTAACAGGGAAACCCAATAGAAACATCCATTTGGAAAAGGAAAGTAATACACAGTGGTTGCCTCCCATAGCACACCATGTCCTCCTCAGCAGGAATGCTGGCTCTTGGAGACTGGTGGAGACGTGATTTGCTTGTCGAGTCAGTATAGCTACCTCACTTTCTACCCTCAAAGCTCGGATCTTTTTGCTAGATTCATAGGCTTTAGTAGTTGAGTATCTTAGAGGCTAAGATATCATAGGCCTTTGCTCTCTAGATGTAGAGATTGTCCGGCAATACAAGTGCCTTTAAAATTTAGTAGATTTTTCAGTCTAGTATTTAGATTTGGTTAACTCTGAGGTTTGGTGCTTGGTGACCAGTCACACATCATAACTAGTCCTACTCTTTAAAGTTCTATCTCAGTTTCTTAGCAACAGATTTCTGGAAATTGCCCTAGCCTACAGTTTATTGCTTCCATAGGTCCTTGCCTGCCTCAAAGCAGTTCGGAACAATAGCCTCAGATGGGGAGGCAAAACTAATATTCCCCAGGCTGCTGACCAGTGGTTGGTTCTCTATTGTGAGGGTTCAATAGAGTTCAGCCTTAGGGACACAAGAGTTCCAGGTCCCAGACTTTTTTCCCATTTGCCTTTCTTCTGTGGACTTTAGCATGAGCAGAGAATACAGCTCTCTATCTTGGATTACTTGGTACAGAAAATAAAGGCCTCCATGGCAAAGCTCTTTTCTTCTCTACTTTTAGGTAAGCCAGCCTCAAATGGAGCTTGTCTCTGTCAGTAATAATTTCCTAAAGGCCACGAGAAGTGACGGACACACTCTGCCACTCTTTAACAGGCTTGCCAGCCCCCCACCATTGCACCACACTCAGCTAATCCCACAGGCTGTCACTTGCAACACCACGCTTTCAGAATCTCAACTCAAAGTGCTTTAAGCAAAAAGGAGATTTTATTGACTCATGTAACTGAAAAGTCTGGGGAAGACCAGTTGTTGCCCCCAGTATATGACCTGAGACCCCTTTCCCTCCATCTCTCCACTCTGCTTTTCCCTGTGGAGGCTCCATTCTCAGGTAGTTTCCAGCTTACCAGCTTTACTGGGAAGGTACACCCCTTTCTTCCCAGTAATTCCAGAAAAATGCCTAGAGTTGGCCTTTGTTCACCCAGCTTTGGTCATGTGACACCCTGACCAGTGACTGTGGGTGAAGGGAAGAAGGGAGAACAGACCACAGTGACAACAGGCTTGGGTCACCTGTGTGCACTTAGGCTGTGAGAGGGAGGGGTACTCACCAAAGAACAATCAGGGAGCATTTTCCTGATGAAGAGGGAACTTTGCTGTGCCAACCAGAACAACAGGCCTACATGAGGATTGGACAGAATATTTGGGAGGGGGAGATGAAGTTGAGAAAACAAATTTACAGATTGTCATTCCTAGGCCTTTAGAGTAATGTTTAGCTAATAGAAAGATAATCTGTGCCACTAATCTAGGCCACATAGTAAAAAAAAAAATAGAGGCGAAATAACTTTAACACTATCTTAATTTTATAAAGCCAGATACTGGTTTTTAACATGTCAGCAATATTAAAATTAGGACATTTTACCCCTTTTTGTACTGTCTTTGAAATCCAGTACGTGTTTTAAATGTGTAGCCCAAGTCTGTTGGGATGAGCCACGTGTGGCTAGTTGTTTGCTGTAGTGAACAGTACAAACTGTTGTTAACCTTCCATAGAGAAGCTGAATATGTGTCATCAGCTGATAAGTTATTACTTCCATTTCTGTGTCTTGGGAGGTTATTTTGAAATTGTGAATCTCATTAGAAGAACCTACCCTAAAGTAAGCCTAAGTATACATTGCCGTGTGGAGTGTCTAATTGGTGCCACTTGTGTCTGAACACCCGTCACACCCAAACTGTTAGTACTCAACAGTGACCTCTTTAATCCTCTGTCTTCCCTCGTGGCCTAGTCTATGCCCTGTGTAGGTAAGGACTCATCTGTCTTCCTTACCCCTCTTCCCTAAGTCCAGTGCCCAGTACATAGAAGATACTAAATGGATAATTTTAAAGTGAAATGAAAACAAATTAAAAACTTTCATGAGGACTTCTCATTTGCCAGGTTTGGTGACAAAATGGTGGAAGTAATACCAGTTGAAGCCCAAGATTGAGTGTTTACAATTTTTATTCTGACGAATGACCATCTGTAGTCTGTGACTAGTGTTACCATTCAGTCACTTAGAGAAAGAGAGAGAGGGAGAGATTAAATACCTATAGAAACCCAGGCTGTTTGCCAGGCACAGGCATACAAAGATAAATGGGAAAACAGCCTCTGCCTGAAAGGAAATGGGAAACAGATTAGTAAAATAAGTCTTATATCCAGTGTTATGATACAGATAAACACAGAGTGTTTGGGGAAGCCCAAGGAAGGCGGTCCAACCCAGGTCAGAGATGGAGAGAGGTAGCAAAGGTTCACTGGGGAAAGTTAATCTCAGTTCCATGGTGCCCGCTGTATTCTTAGTATCTAGCCCCATGCCTGGCACATGTCGAATCAATGAATAAATGAACAAAGTGGCTCCTGCACCTAATCCTAAAGGATTGCTGGGTTTGTCCGTCTGAGTGTATATGGATGGTCATTGTCAATGGAGAGAGTGTTTGCAGGACAGCCCATCCCCAGAGCCAGAGCCTGGCTGTGGGGAACGGCGAGACCCTAAGCGAATGGAGCTGAGGTGTGAGAGCAGGCAGGAGCCTGCGGCACTGGGCGGGGGCCAGATCCCACACAGCCTCGCTTCTTGTGATTGTCCATGTGACCGGGACAAATGATTGTACTTTCTTATTCCAGGCCAAGCGAAGGCTGGAGCTAGGAGAAAGCGGTCATCAGTACCTCTCAGATGGTTTAAAAACCCCCAAGGGCAAAGGGAGAGCTGCACTGCGAAGTCCTGACAGTCCCAAAAGTAAGGATTCTTTCCTCTCTGGTTCTCCATGGTGTGGGCTCCCCACTTTCAAAGCTTGTGGCTGGAAGGATGCCAAGGTGTGGATAATTTGGGCATGTTTTGTTCTTTTTCATTTCTTACTATGCCTATCCAAAAAATAAATACAGTGTCTGCAGACACCCAGTGAAAGATTTAGAGTCACTCCAGTGCCTAAATACTGACTTAAGGGGAGGCCTCTTGAAATGTGTGCAGTTTCATTTCTCAACTCAGAATATAAGCTCCTTGTTATGTTCTATAATCCAATTTAATTTTAACGGACATTACTTCAGAGACTGAGGCTAACTGGGTGTAGACGAGCTGTGCCACGGTTGCTAAAGTCTGTGTCGGCCTAAATCTCTAGCTCAGCGTAAGGCAGCGTGAGAATTGGTTGAGACCAGTGAATTGCAGCTGGTTTCCCTCTCCATTGATACGATCATCATTTCTTCTGGGAGAGAGAAAAGTAGGTCAGAGATGGCTAACTAGTCCTTTATGTCTCTGGCATTTAATGTAAAGGCTAAATTAGACTGTGTTCTCTCCTGTCCTATAGTTTATGAAGTAGGCAGTCCACAGATTGTGTGTACTGCTAAATTAAACCCTTGATCTGTGACCCATAAGAATAAATGCAATATTAAATAAGAAATTTTATTCAAGACAGATGGGGAGACTTGATTGAAAGACTCTTCCAGATTCCAGATAATCTTCATCCAAATGAAGCATTAGTTGAAATATTGGTGAGCTCGTTACATACACGCACAGACCCTTGGAGCCTGAAAGGCCAGTGAAGTGGGTCTGTCTGCACCCTGTCACGAAATGCTGGAGAGATTTGCCACCTGGCCCCATCAGGTTAGACTCCACATGTGCTGGTGCCACAGGGCCACAGCACTTTTTCATTCATTCAGCAGACATTTTTGAGCACTTACTGTGTGTGAGATACTCCACTAGCCCCAGGGAATAGAGTGAGCCAAAGTAGAAACTACCGAGAAATTCACAGTGCAATGCTCTAATCAAACAGGAATTTTTATTGTCCCTTCCTTTTCTAATAAAGCGGTTTCATAGCTTTCCCTGTAACTTCACAGAAGCAACAGCTTTGCTTCCGATACTAACACTCGGCTGCAGTGGGAAAGGGGGCTTGCTCAGCTGCAAAGAAACCCTTCATTTCTTTACCTTCCCCCTGTCCCCCACCCGCTCGGTTTTTGTTTTTCCTTTAAGCTCCAAAATCTCCCTCAGAAAAAACACGGTATGATACATCACTTGGTCTGCTCACCAAGAAGTTCATTCAGCTACTGAGCCAGTCACCTGATGGGGTCTTGGATTTGAACAAGGCAGCAGAGGTGCTGAAAGTGCAAAAGAGAAGGATCTATGATATCACCAATGTGCTGGAAGGCATCCACCTCATTAAGAAGAAGTCTAAAAACAACGTGCAATGGATGTGAGTATGAGTCGCACCCCGCTCCCCATTCCCTGGCTCGGATGGGGTCCATCCCGACGTTGAGCTTTCTCTCAGTCCCAGCTTTCGCACTCCTGCCCACACTTCATTTCTTTGCTCTCCTAACTCTTCTCTCACATTCTCTGTCCCTCAACTCCTTAGCCACGAGTTCAAAGTCTGTTTTGGAAGAGACCTGTTTAGATACTGTCAGAGATTAAAGGGTTTATACTCCATTAGCTTTAAGTAAGGGGGCCCTGGGATTCACTGGGGTCCTGCACGTGCACAGTGGAATGCTGTTCCCTTGTTACCGTGAGGTCCATGTGTGCCATCTCACAGACGCTAACTCCAGTAGGGATCTGGGAATTATGGCTGTGTGTTAACATATCTGTGTATACACACAGTCTCCACATATCTTTACCCATGGTTCTAGTAGCAGATTAACTCACTTCCTGAATAAATTAAGGCAAGAGTCAAATGCCTCAGTTCCTTCTAGAAAGCGGAGATGACGACGGGTCACCTAGACACCCACGTGTGAGATTAAATTTGTGAATTATGAACAGAGCACCTGAACAGCCAGTATTTTAGAAGAAACTATTAAAGTGTATTGGAAGGAGTAACTCTGTTATGGGGTTTGAAAAAATACCATGTCAAACATGATAAGATGAACAGGTAACTGTTTGGAATTTGCGGCCGATTCGGTAGTAGTGCATTTTGGCCTGTGGTTTAGAGAAACCCGCTGTGTTCGTGAGTATAGCACATCCAGTCTGTTCCTTGAACTCCTTTTCCTTTTCAGTTGTTGGTATAGGACCCTCAGAAATTACCTAGGCTTTTTGTGCTTGTTGGATGATGTTTGGCTGAATTTTAAATCATTCCATCTTTTCTTTCAAATTTTTCTCTTTCTGTGTTTTCCTATCTGCTCCC